AGAAGGGGAGGCAGAGACTGGAGTGATGGGGCCACAAGTCAAGGATGCCTGGAGCCCCCAGAAGCTGGAAGAGGCAGGAAGGACCCTGCCCTGGAGCCTTCAGAGGGGGCACGGCTCTGCCACACCTGCATCTCAGGCTTCCGGCCTCCAGAACTGAGAGAAAATAAATTTCTGAGGTCTTAAGCCCCCTAGTGTGTGGTCATTTGTTACAGCTGCCCTGGGATGCTAATACAGAGCGCTTCACAGTAGAACTTGTGTGCTTCCAAGACCTTCTGTATCTTCATCCAGAAAATGGAGCCATTAAGGCCCCTGGCCTGTCCTGGCTTCCATGACCATCCTCTGTGGGGGTCATCTCAAGTGGTGGAGGGGATTCTGGGGTCTGGGGACAGGCTGGGTCTGGTCTTCACTCTGCCTTTCCTCTCCTGCAGCCCTTCCTGCCCGGGAAGCTGCTTTTGCCCAGGAGGGTGGAGAGGATGGCTGCTGGGTGCCTGCTCCCCTGGCCCCAGTGGGGTTTCCTCTTCCCCTGAAAGGCACCCAGTATGTCCAGAGGGAACACACCTGTCAGAAGCGGAGTGCCCTTGCTTTGTGGGAAAGGTGGGAGAATTCACCATGAGTGTCTAGGTCCAGGCACTCAGGCTCCTCCTAAGTGTAGGGAGAGGTGCACTGTATCCCCAGAGGAGGGCTGTGCTTCCTTCCCAGGGTCTGGAACATCTCTGTACCACCTGAAGACCCTGCAGTTTCCCCCATAGGGCAGGGAGGCCCCCCCCCTGCAAGGTGCCATCCTCTTTAAAACATTTATATTTTTAAAAATTGTGGTGAAATACACATAACATTAAATTTATCATCTTAACCATTTTTCCTCTTTCAAAAAAATTTTATTGTGGTTAAACACATATAAAGTTTGCCATTTTAACCATTTTTAAGTGCACAGCTCAATGGCTTTAAGTACATTCACACTGTCGTGCAGCCATCCCCACCATCCATCTCCAGAACTTTCTCATCTTCCCAAACTGAAACTCTGTTCCCATGAAACACTGACTCCCCACCCCTCCCCCAGCCCCTGGCCCCCACCATCTACTTCCTGTCTCTGTGGATGTGACTCCTCTAGGGACCTCTTGTGAGTGGAATCAGACAGTATTTGTCCTTCTGTGTCTGGCTTATTTCACTGAGCATAATTATTCTCCACATCAGAAAAACAGGGCTGATCCACAGTTCGGTTTCAGGTCCCCTAGGGAAACAAGCCCTTTCTCGTAGACATTTGTAAGTCTCCCAGATGGTCCCCGCAGCATCAGTGAGATTCTCATAGTTAGAAACCTTGGTCAGGTGTCCTGGATCTGCTTTGGTCCTTGAGTCGAAGTCCTGGTTTTTGCGCCTGGACCCGCTCTCAGGTCAGCCTGGCTGAAACAGCCCACACGGACACGGTCAGGTTTCAGCGCGGAGCTTTGCAAAAAGCAAAGAAGTTGTGTCCCACTAAGACTTTTTTCCCCACCTTTCCCTGATTGGAATGATCTCTCTGTTATGAAATTATAATAATATATTTATATCATTTATTATAATAATCAGAATAATGGATTATAATAATACTATAATGCTTATAATTATTATATTATTGTATTTAATAAATGCAAACCAATAACATTTCACAATAATTTTTTATTATGCATCCTATGTTAAGGGCCATACAATACAGAGCCATTGACATTTTTTTCCTTGCAAATTCACTCAACCCTTTCAGTGATTCAGCAATTGCAGGGTTAACATTAAAGCCGCCAGCTGGAATGCAGGGGGCCCTGGGGGAGGTTGTAGCAGCTGCAGCCACTGGGGGAAAAAGGCTGTTTTTTTCTGCTAGGAGGAATAGGCAACAGGGACACTGAATATGTTTTGTCCACTTCCACGCCACCCTCTTTGGGAATGTCTGAGCCCTTGCTCCTCCTGGAAGAGGGAAAAGACCAAAGTCATCACCAGTACTTGCTTTTTTTTTTCTTTTCTTTTTTTTTAAAATTAAAAATCCCCTCATTTTAGCCCGAATGGCCCAAACCTGCCAGGGGATCCATCACTCCAGCACACCCACTTTCCTGAGGTCGGGTCTGTCACTGTCCAATTCCACAGGTAGTTTTCCTTCTCAGGACAGCCAGCAGCCCAGCCAGCCAGGTACCATGCATCTGTCATCCCCCGCCCCTTCATCCTCCCTTCCCCAAACTCGGCTCTCCCCGAGTATTTCAGGGAGCAGGTGAGTCTGGGGCAGGTAGCAAACCCCACTCCTTACCCGTCTGTGCTTTGTGACGTGGAACTCCAACTCATGGCACCAAAGAACCAGTATCTACGGACTTCAGGTTTGGGGTGAGGGTCTCCCTGGTCAGACAGATTGCTCGGTGTGGCTTCTAGGCTCTCTGGCTCTGTGGGCAGCAGAGGCCACGACCCATGTGAACTCAGGAGCCCTCATGACCGCCCTGTGAGGTTGTCCAGGAAGAGTCAGTAATAGACCCTCCATCGCATGACCCTAGAACAGATCGATCACGAAGAAGCAGGAGCAGCTTCTCAAGTGGGAAGGTCATACTCACGGATCCAGAAGTTAGAATCACCAGTTCAGCAAGAAATGGGGAAAGCATTCCCGGCCGGCCCGCGTGCTGGTGGTCCGTGCTGCATTGACTGCGGGCCCAGCGTCTGTCGGTCCCTGAGCTGTAAGCCAGACAGGTACCCACCAGGCACTAGTGGAGTCTGACTTCTGGTTCTGCTGCGTCTGAACTCCTTCCTCTGGACGTTGGTTGGGAACTCCCCCTTTTTTTCCTTTTGGCCGTGCCCTGCTGCATGCGGGATCTCAGTTCCCCCACCAGGGATCGAACCCAGGCCCTTAGCAGTGAAAGCGCCGAGTCCCAACCACTGCGCCACCAGGGAAGCCCGTAGCCAGTTTATTCTTATTACAGTTCTGCAGGGCAGAAGTCCAAATTCAAGGCGTGGGCAGGGCCGGTCCTTCCGGAAGCTCCAGGGGAGCATAGGTTCCCGCCTTTTCCAGCTTCTAGAGGCGCCGCATCCCTGGCTTGCGGGCCCCTCCTGCATCCTCACAGCCAGCAGCGCAGCATCTCCCGTCTCTCTCTGCCTCTGACCCTCCCACCTCCCTCTTATAAGAACCCTGTGATGACACTGGGCCCCCCGGGGAATCCAGGGTCATCCCTGTCTCAGGGGCCTTAATCCCACCCGCAATGTCCCTTTTGCCACCTAAGGTGACAGTCACAAGTTCCAGTGATTAGGATGTGGACATCTTTGGGGACCTTTAATTCTATGGGCTGAACCAACCCACAAACCCTTTGCTTTGTGATGTGGGTGAAAACGCTGCAAACCGCATTTCTGCTTTGCCAGCAGCTTCTGCCAACTGGAGGGGGGACGGAATCTGGAGGAGGGAGAGGGATTGGCCCCTCTCATTCCTTGCGTGGTTGAGGATGTCTTTGTTACCTCTGTGCATGAATAATATCCCAGCGTGGCCTAAATATCTTGCATCGCCCCTCCTTTCCCTCAGATGGCCACACGTGTTACGCTGCTCTCTTGTGGCAATGGGTGTTTGGTGAAGAATTCAGAAACCAGCCTCATTTTTCACCTTAATACATGAAATGACGTGTTCTTTATGTGTGAGGCTCACAGGATAGATCTCTGAGCACATTATGGCAAACAGACAGGAGTGCTTGAGGGCCATGCCAGGACCCGATCTTAAGGCAGACTTCTAAATTCCATGCTGATTTATTGAAACTCGGCATGCATTATTAACCCATATTTTTAAAAGTATATACTTTATCTTTAATAGTTTATAAATCCAATGAGTAACTTATTTTTGCCTTGAAGCTTTTTTATGTTAATTCTCTAAACACTCATTTTTATGAAAACATCTAAAACCTTTTTGAAAACCGTAAAAAAAAAAAATTTATTTTATTTATTTAGTTTTTTGGCTATGCCCCACGGTTTGTGGGATTTTTAGTTCTCCGGCCAGGGATTGAACCCGGGCCCTCGGCAGTGAGAGCTCGGAGTCCTAACCACTGGACTGCCAGGGAATTCCTAAAAAAGGAATTTTTAAAGTTCTGTCTGTAAATAGAATGACAAACGATATCAGAATTTGGGCATCCACTTAATGTCAAATGAGAGAATGTTTTCTAAAAGAAGCAGGCATATTAAATGCAGTCGGTGTTTAGCCCCCATCTAGTAAGTGTACTAAGAGTTCTTAGGTCCATCCTACATTTATATAAGCTTTTTTTGTTGTTGTTTTATATAAGTTAAAATAGGAATTCAGGGACTTTCCTGGTGGCGCAGTGGTCGAGAATCCCCCTGCCAACGCAGGGGACACGTGTTCCATCACTGGAGGGGGAAGATCCTACAGGCCGCGGAGCATCTAAGCCCACGCGCCACAACTACTGAGCCTGTGCTCTAGAGCCCGCACGCCACAGCTACTGAAGGCTGCGCACCTACAGCACGTGCTCTGCAACAAGAGAAGCCACTGCAATGAGAAGCCCGCGCGCCAGGGGGCTTAAACAAATACATGTTTCCACGGTGACCTCGCCCCCGGGCCGACTGCTGACCCCGGAAGTCACTAGACCCTCTCCTTCCCCCGTCCCATCCTGTCCAGTCCCGGCTCCGGACAAGGGACGCTCCGCGTGGAAACTGAATCAGGACTTCCCGGTCCAGGAGGAGGACAAGGAGGGGCCGCCGAACTGCGGGAAGACGCCGGGTTCGACCGCCCGAGAGCAGGCTCTGCTCGGGGCCCACGTCCCGCGCGGGCGGGTCGGTCCACAATATGTTACGAAGGCCTGTCACTCAATAACCAGAGGGCGGGCCTGGGAGGAATGTCCAATCAGATGCGACGGGGCGGTGTCCGGAGAACAAGCAGGCGCTCGCGGGCCGGGCCCAGAGAACTGTCCAATCAGGGGCTCCAGGGGCGGGTCTCGGGAAACCGTCCAGTCAGGGGGCGGGCCTCGGGAAACCGTCCAGTCAGGGGCCCGGGCAGTAGCAATGGCCGAAGCACTGTCCAGTCAGGACGGTGGGGCGCGAAGCATCTCCCAATCAACAGCCAGATGGAAGAGAGTGCCAGGAGCACCGTCCAGTCAGAGCACGCTCCCAGCCCGTGAGCGGGTAGTTCTCGGCCAGCCGTGCTGCTCCTGCGTACCTGCGCCGCGTGGGCCCAGGTGTCGGTTCCTCGTACCTCTCACCTACGCGGGCTGCGGCAAGGACGCCTGGGAGAGCCGGGAGCCCGGCAGAGATGGTGAGTCCGCGGGACCGGGGCCCGAGACCGGGAGGGGCTGTTACGAACCGTCCGGAACCGGCTGGAAGCGGTCGCGGGGTGGGGTCCCGGCGTCCTGTCCGGCCCCCGCTTGTGGGGCCGGTGTCTCAGGACTATCTGGGTGACCTAGATGTGCACAACTGCTCTTCTCTCGGGGGTCCGGGAACATCAGCCCCTGGTCGGCTCCTCCCAGCCGACGGCCTGCGGGGGCCGGCGGGGAGCCTGGGGTGACCTGCTTGGGGGCCCTGGGCTGGGAGGGCGTCTCCCGGTAGGTCCTCCGTCCTAAATGACCCCAGCCCCAGTTCTCATTCCATGGAGGGACACTATTTGTCAGCTGACTGGACGCCTGAGGGGAAAAGACGGAAATGATTCCTGCCCCCTGGGTTCTCACAAGAACCACACAAGGGAGAAAAACTAACGCAAAGGTCAAGGAAAGCCCACTGTGAGGTGGGGCAGCACCCCTCACCCCTCCCACCCCCCAAGTCAAATGCACTGGCGACACAGCGGGGACACAGCCGGTGTCCTTTGTTCAGGGAGCACGTTAGCAGTGGTGCCCCTCGTGGTAGCGTGGTTGCACTTGACCCTGAGTCATCTGTGTCTGGGTACCAGTTCAGCACAACCCCTCCGTGGGTTTTTCACCTTGAAAAGATGTATTCACTTACTGGAACCTCAGATTTTCAGCAAGTGTAAAATACATTGAATTAGTACAGCAGGAAATATAAGGTAAAATACTTTCAAAGGAGTGAGTTTCAGGAAAAAAAAAAAAAGAAAATGTCATACATTACGTTTGTTAAACATTCTTTTAAAATCTCCTCCTGTCTGTAGTAAGTTTCTCAGGTCTGTCCCTTCCTGAACAGCTGCAGAGAAGTGAATACAGTACCACATAGTGTGGTAGGTGAAATTTCACCAAAAATACCAGTTATTTAATTTGTGACAGTAGATGATACTGTTGTTTTTTATTATCTGCAACACACTTTGCTTAAATCTGCAGTAAATTAGTTATTGCCCATGGAAGAGGTGGGAATACGCGGATGTTACTTAGATATGTTTGTCCTGTCCCACGTGTGGAAGTGTCTATCATTTCTGCTTGGCTCCCCGTGGGTACCCTGTGGTGAATCAGGTCTCCCCCTCCCCATAGCCACAGGCTTGCCTGGGACTCTGTTCCTTTCTGTAGATTTAGTCGTCCATTCCTTTGCCAATTCCGTCCTGTCAGGAGTTGCTGCTGCTTTAAAACCCTTGCAGTGTGATAGACGGATTCCTGCCTGGTACTTCAGAATATTTTGGCTGTTTGGGGGCATTTGTGTGTAAAGTTAGTATTTGTCAAATCCTAAAAAACATCTGATTTGGCAATTTTACGGAATTTTATAAAGACTCTGTCTTGGGAGGGTTGATATCTTGGTGACACTGATTTCTTTTTAAGAACATGTGCCATCTTGTCATTTATTTCATTTTGCTTTGTTATTATCCTTCATGTTTTAAAATTTTTGTTAGGTTCTTTTTATAGCCTTCATTAAACTGATTTTGTACTACTTCAATTTGGTTTTTACCATGGTATGTGTTATCTTTTTTTTTTTTTGAGTAATAATTTTTATTGGAGTATAGTTGATTAACAATGTGTTAGTTTCTGCTGTATGTGTTATCTTTTTTACCTTTTTTAAAATTAATTTTTATTGGAGTATAGTTGCTTTACGATGTTATGTTAGTTTCTACTGTACAGCAGAGTGAATCAGCTATACATATACATATATCCCCTCTTTTTTGGATTTCCTTCCCATTTAGGTCACAACGGAACACTGAGTAGAGTCCCCTGTGCTATACAGTAGGTTCTCATTAGTTATCGTTATTTATTTATTTATTTATTTATTTATTTTTTGCGGTATGTGGGCCTCTCACTGTTGTGGCCTCTCCCGTTGCGGAGCACAGGCTCCGGACACGCAGGCTCAGCAGCCATGGCTCACGGGCCCAGCCGCTCCGCGGCATGTGGGATCTTCCCGGACCGGGGCACGAACCCGTGTCCCCTGCATCGGCAGGCGGACTCTCAACCACTGCGCCACCAGGGAAGCCCTAGTTATCTATTTTATACATAGTATCAATAGTGTATATATGTCAATCCCATTATCCCAATTCTTCCCCCCCCCACCTCTCCCTTGCTATCCATACGTTTGTTCTCTTTGTCTGTGTCTCTACTTCTGCTTTGCAAATAAGATCATCTGTACCATTTTTCTAGATTCCAAATATATGTGTGTTAATATACAATATTTGTTTTTCTCTTTCTGACTTAACTTCACTTTGTATGACAGTCTCTAGGTCCATCCACATCTCTACAAATGACCCAATTTCATTCTTTTTTGTGGCTGAGTAATATTCCATTGTATATATGTACCACATGTTCTACATTTAGGTTGCTTCCATGTCCTGGCTATTATAAATAGTGCTGCAATGAACATTGGGGTGCATGTGTGTTTTTGAATTATGATTTTCTCTGGGTGTATGCCCAGTAATGGGGTTGCTGGGTCATTTGGTACTTCTGTTTTTAGTTTTCTAAGGAACCTCCATACTGTTCTGCATAGTGGCTGTATCAATTTACAGTGGCTGTATCAATTTATTCCCACCAACAGTGCATGAGGGTTCCCTTTTCTCCACATTTATTGTTTGTAGACTTTTTTTTTAAGTTAAGTGTTTTTAAAATTAATTTTTTTGGCTGCGTTGGGTCTTCGTTGCTGTGTGTGGGCTTTCTCTAGTTGCGGCGAGCGGGGGCTGCTCTTTGTTGCGGTGCATGGGCTTCTCATTGCAGTGGCTTCTCTTGTTGCAGAGCACAGGCTTTAGGTGTGTGGGCTTCAGTAGTTGTGGCTTGCAGGCTCAATAGTTGTGGCTCGCAGGCTCTAGAGGGCAGGCTCAGTAGTTGTGGCGCATGGGCTTAGTTGGTTCACGGCATGTGGGATCTTCCCAGACCAGGGTTCGAATCTGTGTCCCCTGCATTGGTAGGCGATTCTTAACCACTGCGCCACCAGGGAAGTCCTGTTTGTAGATTTAAAAAAAAAATTAATTTATTTATTTTTGGCTGCATTGGGTCTTAGTTGCTGCACGTGGGCTTTCTCTAGTTGTGGTGAGCGGGGGCTACTCTTCGTTGCAGTGCGCGGGCTTCTCATTGCGATTGCTTCTCTTGTTGCAGAGCACGGGCTCTAGGCGCATGGGCTTCAGTAGTTGGGGCTCGCGGGCTCAGTCGTTGTGGTGCATGGGCTCAGTAGTTGTGGCTCACGGGCCCTAGAGCACAGGCTCAGTAGTTGTGGCACATGGGCTTAGTTGCTCTGCGGCATGTGGGATCTTCCCAGACCAGGGTTTGAATCTGTGTCCCCTGCATTGGCAGGTGGATTCTTAACCACTGCGCCACCAGGGAAACCCTTTTTTGTAGATTTTTTGATGATGGCCATTCTGGTCGGTGTGAGGTGATACCTCATTGTAGTTTTGATTTGCATTTCCGTGATAATTAGTGATGTTGAGCATCTTTTCATGTGATTGTTGGCCATCTGTATGTCTTCTTTGGAGAAATGTCTATTTAGGTCTTCTGCCCATTTTTTGATTGCAATGTTTGTTTTTTTGATATTGAGCTGCATGAGCTGTTTGTATATTTTGGAGATTAATCCTTTGTCCGTTGCTTCGTTTGCAAATATTTTCTCCCATTCTGAGGATTGTCTTTTCATCTTGTTTATGGGTTCCTTTGCTGTGCAAAGCTTTTAAATTTCATTAGGTCCCATTTGTTTATGTATGTGTTATCTTTTTAAAGTGAACTTTCCAACTTGCTGTTGCTATTAATTAGAAAGGTAATGAAATTTATTTTTATGTTGAATTTTTATCCTGAGATCTTGTTCAGAATCTTATTGTACGATTATCTTTGTGTTCTGTTGGTGTCATCCATGTGCAGCTGTTGAGTTAGGCATTAAGACAAGTGTCTCCTGGCATTGCACATTTGTGCATTTTCCAGATTGGATTGCTAATGTAATGTTGACTGAGAGTCAGGTCATCTGTCCACACTTCATTTGTACCTGATTGTCTTGGAGAAAACAGTGAATTTCATACCATTTATATGTTCTTTGGTCTCGTTTGAATATTCCTTTGTCCATTTTCCTTTATCCAGTCATGCACATTACCATCTATTCCCCATTGGTAAGAGTTTTTTTTTATGTATGACTGTTGAATATTATAAAATGGCTTTCAGCAGCTCTAAGATGATTACAGGTAAATCCTGTGAATTGATTTTAGAGTTTTCTGTTGTATCATATAACATTAGTGCAGGAAAATGCATGTGACATACGTACAGTTGACAGAAATGTTTAAAAAAAGTAATCCTCTGTTAAATGAAACTCAGCCCTAAATGTAGAACAAGCTTTCTTAAAAGGCTTGAAATGAACCCCAGTGGCAGGCCCCTCTGCCACTCTCCAAATATGACCAATATGTTGAATTACGTGAAGATATATATAATTATATGTAATTATGTGTGTATATATATGTATATATTTGTTATTTAGATTTTTAGGTGCCAGTTTGCAGTCTTATCTCAAATGGTTATTTTACTGTTCTCCCTTACTCTGCCCTGCAGCCATTCATTCATATATATGTGTATCGATATCAACGTGTATATACACACACGTGAAAATCTCTGCCCCTTCCCATATATATATACCCCTCCAAATCCCCTTGCTCTGCCACATTTTCCTCAGTAATTATATTTGATTAGCTTATTTACTGCTTTCCTCCAAAAGAATTTAAGATCCACGTGGTTCAGAATTTTTGTTTTGTTAGTGCTGTAGCCCTAGTGCCTGCAAGTACTGTAACCTAAACAAATTTTACTAAATGAAAGAGCCAGAGGTCAGGTCTTCAAACAAAGCGTTTTTGCGTGGGCACGGGGCTTTGGCAGGAGAAGCAGTGTGAGATGTAAGGATGGAATAGGATGTTTCTGTTGGCTGCTCTCCACAGCGCCCGGC